CATTATGCATCGTCCCTTAAAATGGAGTGATATTAAGTGGAATGCTGTGATACGAGACGAACAATAATACAGATGATAATCCAAGATCATACATATAGGAAAATACAGACAATTTCTGTCCATTTAAAAACCATTTTTGGCACAGAAAATTTCAAATTTTACTCCGACTATTTTGTTGTTATTGTTCATGTCGACAGGAGTCTATCTCGTCTCTTTCAATACAGCAAAAAGATATTTAGCCAAAATTTACGAAGTACGGATGGGCACTAGGCAGATATTTCAGCAAAGTTTAAAATCAATTCAGGGCTACTGAAAAACAGATCTGATTACGAATGAGTTTTGCGGTTGTAAATACGACGTATTACGTTATGCTTCTTTACGCATATTGTATGTTGTGTGTACAAAATCCCGTGTATACAAATATTTTAACTTGTATGTTCCAGAAAGTTACAGGACAGCAATATGAGCTATCCAAGCCAGCGGTTGTTGTCCAGACCCTGGTGCTGTAGCATCTGTAACGTCGACTCTTTCGTCACGCGCAGCGGTTCATGCAGTATTCTGTTGGCCGGGATGTCTGTAAAGTAAAGTAAAGTAAAGCATAAAAGATTAACAAGATGAGCTGTCAAATTCTGTCTTGATGCCAACCAATCTACATAATGTTATAGCATGGGGGTACATGTATATGTTATACTCTGGAGTGGCATCCGAACGGGTATGTCATGTGCTAAATGGGCTCTTTCATCGAGCTTGTGGCAATGCACTTCTACCTCTCATTTCCAGGACTAGAACTATCATTAGCAACTGGGGATTATGGTTATTATCTCAACCGTTTATGAAAACTTAAGTTTTGTTCTACATTTCTGTGGCATAGGTGGTGCCATTTCTTACATTGAAGTGACCATACTGTTGTGGTGTAGACCGTCCCTCCCATTAAGATGGCAGTTCCTCCATCTCCACACTGATGTACCTCCTTTTATGGTGGTCCCCTACATGACTACAATGCTCATTGGTTAGAATGTTTTTGCAGTTTATTAGAGTATTTAGAAGGAGTATCAGTCGAAACATTAAAAATTAATTTTTGTAATTTCTTATCAATGTTAGCGTGGGTCTTTGCTCAAAGACAAAACAAATATATTTGGGAAACCCTCGTCCCTACATTTTGCAGTTGCATATGTTTGTACATATGTTTGCATATATATCTTTATGGAAGTTCTGTTTTCATTAATTGGGGAAAGTATGAAGAGAAAGGTCATTGGCCTCCTAGCTGATTTCGTTTAAAGTGCAGTTATGTGTTCGTTCGCAAAACAGATTAGGCAATGTCATGTCAGGGCTTTTTAATACTTAAGTTTGATCCTTGTTGTTTACAAATGATACAGTGGAAGCCAGTTAATTGCAAAACGCTTATAAGAAAAAGTCTGCTAATTGAAAAGAATTGTAAAAACCCAAACCGTTTCCCATTCCCAGCACCACATAGATACGGGGGGGGGGGACTCCAGGTGATATGATTACCAGGCAAGAGAGAACGGGAGCCTATGATCGTAACTAAAACCGTGCCTGTCTAGCTCTATGCTTAAGAACCAGGCACGATTCTGGCTAGTCTCCACGTATCCGAGAACGTAGATTTGCCAATGGCACGGTTCTGGCTACACAGCTATCCAGAATCGTGCCTGAGCGTAGTTCTGGATAAAGCACAGTCCTGAATACAACAGGGCCTGACCTTTTGATGGCAGCGATGTAGATGACGAGGGCCACGTGTCCCAGGACGACCAGCACCCCGAGCACCACGGACGACACGATGTTGAAGAGCCGCGCGACGCTCTTGTCGGTGATGACGGAGACTGTCGTGTGGAGGATCACCACCAGACCTTGTACCGTCAGAACAGCCAGGATGTAGATGTCCTGGGAATCATCAGATATATGGAGATCAGTACACAATATATGTACAGAAGAAAATGTAGCACGTCAGCAGAACATACTGTACCTGCGCGAAACCCGCGGCTGGATTTTTCACGGTTTGCGTTGGATGTTTAATTTGGTTAACGTTGCATCAAATTTTGCCCGTAATAGACGATATGTTTTCTGACACAACTATAGACAGAATACGTGAATACAGCCAAATTGCTATACATAAAACATCACGGATTTCGCGCTGGCGCATTACTTTCTGCCGAAGTGCTCAGAAACAGTACATGAGCATGTATGAGCATGTCGGCAAAATTCCTCAAACAGGTGAAGGCAGCTCAGCATCAAGGACGACACTGACATGTTTAACACATGGAGGCTGCACTGCGCTACAGTCTGGGCAGGGAAGTATTGTTTGGGTGGCTAAGCTATGGGTTTATGTATCTGTTTGTCCGGATAAAGTAGGTTGACAACACGTGGGTACTGGTACTGACCAGTAGTGTCAGGTAGGAGATGGTGGGGAGTCTCTGCGCCAGGACCAGCTTGAAGGCGACTGACGTCAGCAGCAGGGTCAGCGTCACGTCCAGCCGGCTGTCCAGCGAGTCCGGGGCCAGCGCGAAGGACGAGAATGTCAGCAGCAGGATCAGGAACTGGGAACGAGAACACAAAGGGCGAGAAGAATATCAACGTCAGAAGCCTTCTGTAATTTGAGGATTCCATTATGTTCCAAAATAGTCATTGTTTGATCCTAATACTCAACACATGCAACCTCAACACATACGCGATCAGGAACGAGAAGAAGAATGAGAGCAAAGGACGGCGAAAATATGATCAAAGTCTGACGCCTTCTGTAATATTCCGGGAGGGGGGGGGGTAAGGGAAAACATAAAATCCTTGGAGTTATAATCTTTCGAGGGTCTGCAGTGCTAGTGTCGTTTCATTTCTGTCAAATATGAATAAGTCGATCATACAAGAGATAGGCATACAAGAAACAGTGAAATTACAAATTTCTTTTGTGGCTTTGTTGTTTTCTGTCGTATCCTTCTAGAGGAAACAGAAATAAATCTTCTCAATTATCCCAGTCTCAAGTAGTACAAGCCATCGTTCCCGCCATTTTCTCTGCTATAATGACACTAGCTACAGCTGACACAAACTGCAAAGTTGACGCACCATGATGACGAAGATGTTCCAGAAGTAGTACGTCCAGCGGCGCGTGACGTTGATGATGACGTCATAGGTGGGGAAGATGGTGTCAGGTCCCGTGATCTCCGTCTCGGTCTTCCCCTGACACGTCATCATGTGTGCGTGCAGGTACCACTCGTCTCCCCCTACGTTCAAAATGTAGGGTAATATTTTTTTAAATGTCTAACGTTAGATACTCCACCACATTCTCATTACACAGAATTTTGAAAGGTAGATTAGTCTCATTGCTAGTTTGTCAAAACACGCCAGATAGCTTTTAATCAAACGAGGCAAAGCACTGACTTTTTGTATAGATTGCAATTCTGGGAATTCGAAATAAACAAGGGTGTTTTAAAGACAAACCGAAGGACTAACCTGTGAATGTTGAAGTACTAATGGCGTCCTTCTCGTCCAAATATGGGCACATGATGATGTGTTTGTCCGACCAATCAGACATCAACTCAATCTTCAGTTCCTGGAAAATAACGTCAATGTCCAACAATTAACGAACAAGGAAAAAGAACGATTTCAGATTTGTTGAAATCAGAAACGTATTTGCGAACAAATGGGAATTTCTACCAACGCATCACAAGGATATCGACCTGCGCAGCCTCATCATCTTAAAGCACCACGCATTGTACATTTACACGATGCAAGTTCAAGGGCGTCGATGAAGGTTAGACATCCAGGTAATACGATATGCCAAAAAACAGTTACTCAAGCAACTGGATATGATTTTGAAAACGTCAGACGTTTCAGCTAGTATCCACTAGCTTTCGTCAGTGACTGAGAGACCAGAGGGGAAAGCAGGTTTATATACACAACCTGTTGATTGATATGCAAATAAAGTGAAGACAAATTTTTGGAAGTCGAAAAAGGAACAAAAGTCAGACAAGTCAAGACAAGATGATGCAAATTAGTCTGAAAGCTCCTGTTATACAGGACAGGAGCTTAAGTGTTGTCTGTCCTCGGGGCTGGGAGTGCCAAATCCCAAGTGCCGGAAAGATCGACCCGTAGCCCCCCTTCCCTGTTGAGGGTGGGGTTGTACATTCTTTCATATATTGCCTCTTTAACACCCCGTTCCCACCAGCGTGTTTCGCGGTCTAAGACATCCGTGGACTCGAGTTTGAAAGAGTGACCCTGGTTGTGTTGTAGGTGGTGGAAAATAGCTGAGGAGTAGCCGTTGGCACTAGGTCGGCAATGTTCTTTGTACCTTACTTTAAGCGGTCGACTTGTCTCTCCGATGTAGGTGTTGTTACAATTGGGCTCCTCACATTTGAGTCTGTAAATAACATTCGCCTTGGTACCCTTGTGAGGTCGGTCCTTAGGGTGTACCAGTCTTTGTCTGAGGGTTGAGTGAGGTTTGAAGTTAGTGGCTATGTTGAAGTTTTGGAAGATCCGTCGGAGTTTCTCAGATACTCCTTGGACATACGGAATAGTGATGTTGGCCTTGTTTTTGTTGGTCAATGGTTTGCACTTCTGGGTTTTCTTAGACTGATCAAGTTCAAGGGCACTCACCTGATGGTCGAACGGGAAGTTGAAGAGGTGCATGGCGACCTTGAATGTGCCCTTGACGTGCATGGTGAGGCGGACCCAGGGCTGACCCGAGCTGCCCTTGAAGAAGACCCGCTGTTTCTCCAGTCTGTCCACCGACACGGCGTTAAAGAACACGATACGAGGGTCCCACTGGTCGTCCCAGTGGATGTCCTGGAGAGGAAGAGAGAGGTTTTTTTCTGTCTTGAAAACTTCTATGTAAAATCGTTAATCTTTGTCTTATACATTTCCCATAGCAGTTGTTTATATCAGTGTTGTTGTCGACATTTCTAACGTAGATTGGACCCCTATGACATAACAGTCGCCCTTACGGAGTAGAATATTGAGACGTCAATTTCCAGGTCCTCTAGAAATGTCTGTCAGTTTCTTTGAAGAGGGAGATTTATGCTAACTGCATGTCCTTTTACACGCGTATCATATCTTAGTACAGAGCTAAAACTTTGTTACAGCAGGTGCGACCAACAGAGACGACGGGCGGTATAAACTTCTGACCAATCGCTGGTCGACGAACACGTTAGCAGAACATACTGCGTGAGACCCCGGTACATAATGTCATCATGTGACTATTTCGTGAACTCTCAAAGGAGAGAGGACACTGTTGTTTTACCTCAGCTGTGGCGCCGTTGAGCTGCGGCTCCTCCCAGAGCGCCTCCACCACCGCGTCACAGGTGAACTCTTCCTTCAGCGTGTCGATCTGACCCACCTGCACGATGAAGCACCGGATGTGCACCGCCACCTGCAGACGACAGGGAGCGCTGCTAAATCAGTAACGTGGGATACTAGTAGTTGGTGGGATAGTTTCGAACGACAAAAGAAAGGTTATCTCCAAGTAGATCTTACGGGGAGATCGTAACCAAGATCATGTGGGTTCAATTTTACTCCCAACCAAGCCCCGACCACTGCTGACCTGTTCCCAACCACCAGCCAACCATGTCCCAACCTCCCCTCCTTGAATGTATTTAAAATTTTGAAACATACGTCCGGTGCAGCCGAACAGTAGTCGAGACCCATCTGAACATCAGCCAACAACAGTCGACCTTGCTCCCGGCCTACTGCCAACCATGAAATTGGGGGAAATTTATCAGGTGTTCAGGAGGCCATATTCAGCTATGAGGGGCTCTACGTACCCATGATGACATGATTATATCATTTGCCACACTTTTATCAACCGGCCCACAGCAAGAGAGACAGTTCCATAGATAAGCCGAACCTATCTTTGTATCAGACATGAATATTTAATAAACAGACAGGAAGGCAAGACATTTGGCGAAATGAACTCCGTCCAGTCGATATGAACCCAATTCACCCTGCCCACCAACTAGATTGAGGGGACGAAAGCCTTGGCGCGAATCCGAACACCGTAAAACGTAGACAATTTCGCAATGACTCTCGTAGGAAAGAAGGACCTTTTGCTTGACGTTAATACGACATGACCCACAAAAATTCCGGCAGACGAAAAAAAACCTCTAAGTTATTACTTAGTTAAGTCAGTCGTAAAGGCTAACATGATTTGGCGAAGGTATGAGAACTCTCGTGGAACTCGTTATTATTATTTATCATATCTGTACTTATATCTACATCATTACTAAGAAGCGAGAAGAAACCAAATTATCGTAATTATTAGACTATATGTCCATAGTACATAGAATTAGCACTAGCATTGTATATATTCATTGCAAACTGTGACGTCTTTCCTGTGACCTGTACTGAACCCAGTGGGTATTTGCGTACAATAAAGGTCTTCATTCATTCATTCATTCATTATTCTCGTGGAACTCGTTATTATTCACACATTAAAGTCAGTAATGCATTACTATAAAGTGGTAGCACACTCAAGTAGCAAGGACTTATGTTAACGCTACCACATAGATTAATACTCTTGTTCTGTACATAGTAAAATATCTCAACCTTCTTCCCGTCCTTCCTCGGGCTGAACTCCGTCTCCTCCTCCACGATTTTCCGCAGCATGGACTGGATCTTCCGCATGCCCTTCGTCACCTCGTTCCCGTCCAGACCGGCACCAGACATCTGGGGAAAACAGAAATCACGGTCATGTTCACACTGACCACTGGGGAGAAATTCTCTCTGGTCTCATTTTGAGATTGCGAAACAATGCTGAAGACTGAGACTGAAAGAAAATTGATTATAATTGATACAAGTAAATACAGTAGCGTCTAAGCATTTTAAGAATTAGAGTATTGTAAGTACATGTAGATCAAGATATAACTTGTGGAAGGGACTTCTTGGTGCGTTGACAGGTTCACACGGTGCCTACATTGTCATCTGCGATTTGTCCGACTCACAGTCAGGCCAGAGTTCGCTGCAAGTTTTCTACTCCGAAAATGCACATATGTACGTATACAGCAATAGTTAACTTGTAGAGTAACAATTAACAACCTACTGAATCGGAGGTGTTTGGTCCTTACCGTACCGTGTCCTATAAGTGTTGAATTGGGAGCTACCAACTTCTGCTGTTGACATGACGTACATACGCACGTTACCGACATGTACACTTGACCGTATTTTGAGGTATAACGTTCTTGCGATCTCTATTCCTTCATTTTTCCACTTTCATATTCATTTCTTTTCCTTTGATACAGATATATAGGTCATATACAAGATAAACCCAAGGGCCCCAGATCTAGACATTTTTAGTTTGTTCCATTGGGCAACGCCGTGGACCTTTTCAAGGGTTCTTCTCTACCAGCAGACCAAGTGGGTACGTAACAAGTGACCTGATTGGTTCAAGGGAATGTAACACTGACGTACTGTCCTCGTGACATTTTAAGACCTCACAGTTTTTAAACTTCCTCTAGACGTACCAAGCAGAGAAATTAAAGGTAAACCATCTTGGCCCTTGTATACATGTGGCGGCTATTCACCTGTCCAGGAGGCTCATATATTTGTGTACTACAAGTTCACCAAGTATTCCATTCTAAACTGAAAAAAAATGTAGCCAATCCCAAATAGTTTCTCATCTTGACTGGCAATGTTTGCCTGTGAAGGGGTCCAGAACAGGATGTGAAATGAAGTTTGATTGGTGTGTTTTACCCTCGGTGTTTGATACCAGGATTTGCTGATCGCTGACACCTAAACATTTGTTGTGAGCAAAGCCCAACTCTGTCATCCAGTAAGCATTAACAGTCTCGTGTTCATTCCAGATATATAAGCAGATAAATCAGCAGAATACAAATGTATGTACCGTATATTGAATATGTATCGTAAGTAACTGATAAGTAACTCACACCAAAACAGGCTTTACCTCTCCACTATGCGCGTCTATCCAAGCACATTTTCTACAGCATGGAAATCATTTACAATGTGTAAGAAAATATCATATAGTACGGTAAACGTGGCAGCAGGTGCATTCTGGATTATTAGCTGTTCATAGACCCCCCCCCCAAGGCTGATCTACAAATTAATCAGCATCAGTGGAAGAGGACATAACATAACGTTCAACCTCGCTGTACCTGCATTCAAAGTGATGTATGTTGAGCTGGTCTCTCAAATTTAACTCAGATTTGATTCGATCCATGTAGAACCGTTACCGGTAGTCGTTGCCTAACTCAGGTCAGACTGCTCTCGAACATCAGCCAACCTTGTTTGGTTTGGTGGTCCGGCAGAGGAAGGTTCTGAATGCATGTCTGACAGGGGCTCAGTTAGTAATACCAGAAGAGTCTTACCTTCTATGTTTGGAACAGAACGGCTCACACTGTAAGATCGGGAACTTCCCAAAAACGTTCGGAATGGCAGGGACAGATAAGGAGCCGTTTGCTGCCGACTTAAATACCGGATTTGGAGGGGCATGATTATTTTGGTCCTCTCGTTCCCCTGTGGCTCTGGAGATCTCGTCCCAAGGGTGTTAAGCACCCGTCTGGTGTCTCGAAATTAATTGACCCTACGTGGTATTTTAAAGATAAAGGATGGCCTTTGTTCTACAACATTAAAATCATACTTTGTGTTTTCTGTAGATGTGTATGCATATGTATACAAGCTATGTCAAAGTATCGATTGGAACGCATGCGCATTGACAGCCCCCGAGAATGTGTACTAGATTATAGCTTTCTATAATTTTTGTTCTTCATTCGCAAATATGACAAATTTTAGAGTAAAGCAAAAAACAGGTTTGAAAATAGATTGACAAACGACCATGCTTGTAATTACAGGTGTGAACTAGGTATGCTAGGATAGATATGATAGTTGGCAAAATAAAAATATACATCCCACTAAAACACGTCCAGTAGCCATATCGGTTTCTATTCTAGCCGATCTGCATAGTAAACTGTCGTCTGCAACCTGGTGATTTCTATGAAACATGTACATAATTAACATCTGTCACCCTGAATGGTGAAAACCTGTCACGCATGTCCACAGTAATAAGCCGTTCCATGTGACCTTTGCCGTTTTGTATGAACGCTAATAAAACCACTCTGAATAATTCTGTAGTCATCCATTATATTTCAAATATGTCACAGTCTGTGCACAAAACTGCATATGCAGTATAGACTGTGATGAATTACATTGTAACTACAGAACAGAGATATATACATTCAGCGTGCAATTCATATTGTGTTGATTTCAATGAAATTCCCGTAACACGACTTAGTACGAAATAATCACCCGAGAAGACCGAACCACATGTATAATGAAGAAATACAATCGATGGCAATTTCATCTGGCACATTTTCCAACCGCAGGAAGTGCCTTTCATATCACAGGAAAATTGCGATGTTTTGTATAATTAATGAGGCGTGTTTACAACCACAAATCATATGGAACAGGTGTGCATTAGTCTCCTGCAGACCTCTAGCGGGACTAGAACAGCGCGTTTTCATTTCACGGGAGCTAGGGCCTTTGGTTCGGGGGGGGGGGGGGCAGAACTGTATCCGCGGAGAGGTATAACAATGTGCTCTGCTACCGAAACACATTCCCCATCGGGCAGAGCTATGCCGTGGGAGAATGCAGGAACAGTGAAATGTAGCTGTGTACACAACAAGTACAGTACGTATACGGACTACACATTTGTATAATCTAAAAACACAGAAAAATAGCGTCTACACAGGTGTAGGTTTTACATAAATACCCTCTTATGTGTGTGTTTATGTTTTCGTAGGAGAAATAGGAATTTCAATTTTGAGTTATTCGGTTTGTTCAATGGTGTGTAGCACGTAAACACTCAATTGTCTTTATATACTTTGGCGTATAGACCTATTTTTTTATCATGGACGCATTATGGTATATTCTGTTAAGCTTTCTGTTGTGAATTCGCGATTGTCGTCGCAGAAAAAAAGAGGTGTGGAGCATGGAGCAAAGATGGCTTTGACAAATTTGGAAATAGATTACCACACGAATCAACAAGAATTACTTCATTCTTACATCCATACATATGTGAAATAGTGACAATGCAAAATTCAACTGTTAAAAATAATATAGCCTCTTGAGATCAACCATTAAGCGGTCTGGATCCAATATTACCTTTCCAAAGAGCTTACGTCAATTACCTTTGCTCATGGAAATGCCATATGACGCCGCACAACAAGATATCATTATCTCCTGGGTCTGGGCTTTGGTGATGCAAAATACATGGGGATAATCATAGGGCACAGGCTTCTGTCATCCGCCACTGCATTACTGCAAATTGATATTTAATATTTCACGAACTATTATCCTGCATTACTCTGTGGGAAAGGGATTAAGAACCCCCGAGGGGGTCGAAAAATAAGTCTGTCGGCAGCAGGCAGAATTTTCATATATCGCTTTTATGATAATCAAGTTATGAGATTCATATGATGGATGTCTGGTTTGGCGAGTCTGTGTATATGCAACGCGTACCGCTGTTATTATGGTTTGCAAATGCTGTAGCATTGTACATCTTACATGCCAAAATAACGTATGCAAACGTTGTCTTAAAATTCGAAAACGTCAAACATGATTTTTTACATCAGATAATGATGTTGTATTGCAAATACTTTCATAAAAGGTAATGCTCGTTTTTTAAATTATCACTCTTTTTTCTGAAACTCATCGTTACGATGCACGCATTTTAGGAGTTTGATAAACCAACAGTTAAGCCGTATCACTCAACAACAGCACTGGGTTGCGTGCTTTACTAGAACGGTTGCTCGAGCACGCTTAGGACGACCGCGCAATCACAGAAATGTCAATCCGCCGCGAAACTAAAAACAGAAGTCGTCTTCGCAAATTTTACGGCTCTTGGTCTCGTCCGTTTCCATCGCAACGGACACTCAACAGTAACCTTCTCACGCCCCCTCCGCGGACTCGCAGACACGCAGACTCAAGGTCACGCTCGGAAGGTCACGGCGACATTTGTAGGAGTGGGATTCGGGATTCCAGAGCGGGCCCGTTACCATGGAGACGGCAGCTTCGCTCCGGTGTGCTACATGTCATGTCTGTTCCAGATGTGGGAGTTGGTGGAAAGGACACGTAATCTCCATCATCAGCCGACTGCGGAGCTCATGAAGCTGCGTGTTGAAGGACAACAGATCAAGTCTTGCCAACGACGAAAGGACTGAATTTCAAGACTACCCTTTCTTTTCAGATTTACCAGGCACCTTGCCAGTATAATCATACCGAAGAGGCCCTGTTAAGGGAGTAAAGCGGTGCTTTCATTTAACAGTTTCAAATAGATACGCCTTGATATATCAAAACCTAAAACTACTTGCCAATGTTGTTTTGACTGAGTCTAAAAGATGCATAAACGGAGCGGTTTTGTGAAATAAAACATGACGTCTCGCTCTTCCTGGACTGAATAAATGATTTGACCACGAAGATCACAGACGTTTCGTTAGCTGTTTCAGTGTTGCTACAGGCCTGACCACACACCACAGGCGACAGGAAAGCGTAGGTCCCAAAATGCCACATTAAGTTACGAAATGTCTGAAACCGTAGTGACCCCGAAACAGCGAGAGCCATGACTCTATTTCTGTTTCTGTCCTAGAGGGACATCCTGTCTTGACAGGTTTTCTAATTTTCTGGGGACCCAACACCACATGTGTTACACCGTGATCTACAAGCTATTTGACGTTTGATAGAAGAACAATCGTATACGTGGCACAATGTATGGCAGGTACTTTAAAACATAGTACGAAATAGGTATAGAATAAAACGTAGTATCTTAATTACTAAAACAATAAGGGCTAGCATAATTTGTCGGTATAGTGTTACTGTTGAGTGAGTTTAGGTATTTTTTCTAATAACAAAATAGTATTTTATATCTATCGTTACATTATGAGTTATTTTGCATCTAAAAATACATTCAAACCTGTCTCTACCATGACAGCAGCTTGGCCATGTAATTCCTGAAGAGTATTTTTATTGGCAAGTTTTGACAATTTATTTTGAAACCGGATTTAAAATATGTTTAACAAGCCCAAGAATGTTAGAAACGCATACCATCAAAACAAGATATGATATGATCAAACTATCAAGTGAGAAGTATTGTACTTCATGTGGTCAACGTAGCTTAGCGCCATGTATTTATTTTACCTCCAATCTTCTACCTTATATATAGGTAGGTAAACATACTGTTTTTTCTATAACAGGTAGTCGCTACTGTCTTATTTCTGGACGAATCTGTGGAATTATCCCTACATCTGGCGGCATATTTAATCATCCCGGCACAAATGTGATATACATGGTCTCATGAAGCGGGCTCGGAAATATGGACAGGGTAAGTGGATTAGTCTGCGCCACTGCGAAGTCTATCAAATAACGGTGGACGGCACGGAGGGGTCGTCTGAACACACATGCACTTATCGATGTCATGATAATCGGGAAGGGGTCCTGCTAACGAGAGGGGGATATTGGACATTACAGAGTTACGACACTTGAACATTGGGCATAAAGGACTTAGTAAAAAAATTATGCAAGTTTATTTCAGCGATTGATACGTGTTTTTGGCAGGAATGTTCAGAAATATGGTTTCAGATATATATCTTTTTAATGTACACAAATATATTAGTCATTTTACTTGTTATGGAGGCCTCACATCCATGTTCTGTGTAGATACACAGAGTGACAACCTATCAACAAGTATGATGATTTATGATCGTGTAACGAGAGGGGAGATTTTGGTCATTGATCATGACATTACAGTGATAAAATCGAACTGTTTGTCAATATCTAATCGGCAAGATCTATGAACGAGCCTCTTACGAGTTTATGTCAACAATTGTCGGCAACAATAGGATATATTTGTGGGTAAACATACCCAGAAACATCAACATACCATGAGATTGATGTATGTGTTTATATGTTTATGTTATATGTATGTTTACTTATACCGATTACGCATACCGATATGTTTTGATATGTCTCATTTGCCGCCCAGAAACCCTGACATTTTTTTTTCTTATGATATCCCCAAAATACCCAGTCTAAACCCTGACAGGGCCCTCCTAGCGCCAGAATGCCAACACCTCCCTGACACAAAAAGAAGCACAAAATGACGACAATTTTTCATCTCATTACTATCATTATAATGCTCACATTTTCAAATGTAAAACAGGACAAGTTATTAGTGTGTTTATGATTGCTCCCGCACCATCAAAATACAATGCATCCTACATGCACATGTACATCTATTTAGGTTCTCATAATTCTAAGGATATATTGATTATGTGAAATGCGAAGTCATATTCATGGTATTGTATCGCCATTCTTTCTACGCACAGACAAAGCGAAGCGGTCTTTACATGATGGGTGTGGTTGTAGGGCGAACCTCTAACTAACACAGGTCACCCCCACATAACCCTTACATCGCCCTATAATCCTTTTATTTTTCAGTAACTGGAGTCATTATTTACTGTATTGG